CATGTCATTTGAGTTTCAACTCCTTCTTCTTCATCTCCATCTTCATCCTATTCTAGTCAATCTACAAGAATGGATGAACTATACTAGTCTCCACTAAACTAATCTAACACTCAGAAGATGAAAGAGCTACATTTCTACACTCCAAGCTTTCTCCCGTATCTCTCTCTATTCTCCCTTCAATCTTGCAAGCTTTGACTATATCAAGGTGAAAGTTGGTCAAGAAGTGAGGTTTACACCTCCCTTTTACAGCTGGGAATGTTTCTCACATGTCTAGCATCACATGTGACTTAGTGGAGGTGAAATTGAGTTTTCCGCGTAAAGAGCAGACTTCTCTGACCACAATCCGGCCACAAATCCGGCCAAGTTCCGGCCGGATTGCTACAGTGACATTTTGGTGCACTGTTGTTCAATTTCCAGCTCTGCTCTAATTTTGCATCAACTTCAAGTGAACTTTTCTTGATGATAAAAGCTGATTTAGCTCTTGACCAAAACATAAAACTTGTAGCCCTTTGAGTTAACTTTCCAATGCATCAAGAATCACCTCATTTGGATTTGTGTAGGCTGATAAATGACCGAAATACCCTTGACTGCTCACTGCCCTGTTTCAGCTTCGACCAATAGAAATTAGCTACTGTAATTCGGCTTTTTGACCTAGAAAACCTTCAAACTGGATTCAGATGTCTTCATCAAAGTTGTAGATCTATCTCTTATCTTCAAATTGGTTTAATAATCATCTCAATCCGATCATTGTAGCTCAAGCTATAGCCAAAATACGAAAATGTGTCAAAACTGTCAAAATGCACAAAATCCAAGTAAAAAGTGATAAAAACCTCATTTAACCACTTAAAAGCATTTTTCACCAATTATAGCCAAAATGATTTATTTTCTTCCAATAATATACCCAAAGTGACTAAAAATAATATAAAAAGTCATACAATTATTACTTAAATTAGTCACTTATCAATTCGGTCTAACCGAATTCATTTATTAAAAAAAAAAAACTGATGAGATAACCCTGTTATGGTCCTGAAGGAAGTGATTGTGTAATTTTTAATTTACAAATTAGGGCTCCTAAATTATAATACGTTCATTATGCTCTTCAATAATTTAAAAATTATTATTGATTTGATCCCCAAACTTATTCATAATTTAACACATTACTTATGTTCTAATCATTTTGTGGTTTAATTGGCATTTATTTGATCACTTATACCTAGAATCCTTAGTCTATGATTTAAGAAACACATAAAAAGTGATTAATTTAAACTAGAATATACCTTCGACTGTATAATGATTAGTAATAATTTATGAATTTATAATTTGCCATGATTAATAATAAGTAATGTTAGTTACAAACTTACAAATTACAATGATTAGTGATAAGTTATATTAGTTACAAACTTATAATTTATTTCAAATCAAAATAAAACTTATTTAGTTACATATGTTATTGTGAAAGTCAATACACTAGTACATTGATTTGCAATTCATATGCATTCACTTACACTGCTTAGTTGTCTTGTCTATACTTAAAGCCTTAAGATTAGTGAATAGAGAATATGAATTTTTATGTTAAATATGTAATGTAAATTTAGAGCATACTAATACTTGCAAATTATAGGTTACGCATTCAAATATTCAATAATTCAAATATAAATGATGTATCAAATTACCAATATCTAAATTCTAATTACTAATTATGTTTATTGTTTAGTATTTAGTATTATACATATATGTTATAATTATTATCTAATTCTAGTCATGTTACTCATGTATAAAATAATAAGTATTATAGTTATGTTATATTATTATGTATTACTATATATTTGTATTATTATAGTCATATAACAATTAACAAATACTAAAATATATTGCATATTATTATTATAAGTACATGATTATTATTAATAGCATTTACCTATATAATATAATAATATATTAGTAGTATATACTAATACTAAATAGCATTTATCTATATATTATATAATTTTATAAACTAATTTGGTATTCGAATGTTGTAATGCGGTACCCTATTTCATTTTACCGAATTTGAATGCGAAATCGGTTATTACCAAATTCATAATCTCATTACCTATTTCATACCATATTAGAATTTGGTACGTACCGAATTTGTACCAAATTACCAAATATCCGATTTCAAATTACCAAATTGAATTTGAATTGGATTATAAATTCGATGTGTGCCGAATTTGCTCACCCCTATTGGAAACTATTCCAATAACCAATCACTACAGCCATTATTTTCCCGTCACTAGGGGGAAGACGTTAATACCAGAGCTATAGATACAGGGATGTTCATCGTTTGATGTAAATTTGGTAACATGGTAATTAATCCCGATCAGCAAAATCCACTCTTGGCTAGAGTTAATATTTTAGCATCTTTGCCTAATAAAAAGTTTAAAGATCTAAGCTAAAAGCAAATGAAAGCATTAACAAATTGATTTTTTTTGGTCAAAATCAAAATCTAAAATAGTATATGCTTCTCCTTGTGTTGCCCATTCTACTAATTTGGAAGTCCGTCAGAAGAAAGAATTTCTGTTCTGGTTTATTTTGGAACTCCAACTAATTGTGGTACACTCTCCGTCAGGTATTGGGAATTCTCTTAATGTGATAAAATCCGTCACCACTTAGGGTGTTAACAAGAAAAGATAATCAAATAAAAAAGCCGGTAACTTGGAGAACTGAATTGGTTCAAATAAACAAATAGGGTAATCAATTCAACATTTTGAAAATGGTTAGGCTACCCAAACCTATTTGAATAGGTCAGGGAATGGCTTCTGATTTTTGAAAATCGCTTTTATCCGAGCCTATCCACATATGTATAAGTTGGTTAAACCTCGAGTAGGAACCATTTAGTCAATCACCATTAGTAAATCAAGTTAGGAAGCCCATTACACATTTATATTTATTTATTTATTTTTGGCTGTGAACATAACAAGTAGTTAATTTACCTAACCTCCCCAATTCTTACATTCACCGCCACTAATTCCATTCACTCTACTGGCTCTTGTTTCTTTGCCTCCTCCAAATTTTCTTTTCTTTGCTCATAAAGTTTGCATGCTTTTTCACTATACTCATTTTTGTTTTTCCAAATTTTAAAGCTTTTATACTTGGTTGTGGACGAACCTATTTGCATTACTGAAATACGAGTTTATAGTGTTTTAAGAAGTGAAGAAGGTAAAAACAAATGTTCGAAGCATTCAGTATTTTAATTATGTAATGTGTCTTGATCATGTATTATTTGTGGGATAAAACTTGTAAGGTGTAAAACTCGATGGACCAAACCTTACTTGGAACTTGCAGAGTTAAAAAAACTGAGAGTAGTCGACAACTATAATGCAGGCAGAAGGTTTAGTTGAAAATCGATGCCATTCAGATGTCATGCACCTAGATAATATGTAAAGAACATGTTCTGTATTAACTCATTATCGCAAACAGCAGGTGATTTATATATCAAACTACGGAGTTTTTCTTAATAACTCAAATGTAAGTCAATTATTTTCCAGTAAAATTGTTTATGGTTCGGAAATTTGTCCTAATGCCGCCATGGTAATTTTCTACATATAGTGAACTCCAAAGCAAATCAGGCGATAAACTTAAGAATGAACGGCCAACATAATACTTGGTGCACAATAAGTCGACCAAGTTCCTTGAAACTAATGTTGAGATGGAGTAAATAAAGTCATTAACAACCCTTTAGGTTGAAGGTAAAATGGGGAGAAGAGGGACCCAAAAGAAATAAAACGAAGGGAGTGGAATTATACATCTATAGCATGAACAAAAGTAAGAACTGGAAGGTGAGCATTTAGGTTTTTTCTTATTTGGTCCATGTAAAAGAAGATATGAATTGATGACTTTGCCCCTCCATAAGCTAGTGAGTAAAAAGCAAATTGGTCCAACAATCAAAGTACGACATTGTTCCACGTAGAGGTGCCAAATTAGTTTAATTACAAAAGTTAAGGGATAATATTATCCTAAATTAAAGTTGAAGAACCAAAAGTGGTCCCGTAAAAAAGTTGGAAGATGATTTCGATCATTTGCCAAAAAAAAAAAAAAAAAATCAATTGAAAGGAGCGCAAATGTAACATCTATTGCATGAAGAAAGATATGAAATTGAACATCTATTGATGCATGCATTACCAGCACCGCAACTCTGAAGATGGAAACTTCTATTTAAGCTGAATTATCATCATCATCATTATTAGGGCAAATTACATTTTACCCCCTGTGGTTTAACATTTTTTTTACATAATCCTCCTTTGGTTTCAAAAGCTATACATAATCCTCTCATGGTTTGGATTGAAGTATCAAAGTGATGGAAATAGTCATTCATAACGGAACTTCTAAAAATGTCAAAATTACCCTTATAAATACATGACACACTAACCCCGTATGATTTTTATATTTTACCATATAACCCCCTTATGGTTTAATTATTTTACCATATAACCCCTTATAATTTTTAAAATATACACATAACTCCCCTTGGTTAATAAATAATTTTCAACTTTATATAAGGGTATTTTTGATATTTTAAGTGACTCCGTTACAAATGATCATTCTCGTCACTTTGACACTTTAATCCAAATCATGAGAGAGTTATGTATAGCTTTTGAAACCATAGGGGAGTTATGTAAAAAAAGGTTAAATCATAGGGGGGTAAAATGGAATTTGCCCTCATTATTATTGTTATTTAGGTAAGCTGAATTATTATATCACCAAATTGTCACCATGTTAAGCTGCATTATTATATATATCACCAAACTGGAGTTGCAACAGCAAGAAGAGGAACTTTTTTGTGAATTATTAAACCATGCATTCAGTCATGTCCAAATCTGTGCCCTTAGCTCCATCAGACAAATAACTTAAGCATAAGATTAGCTAAAACATGCTCATCTGTAGCCATCGCGAAAGAGATTCCAGGACAACCGCTTCTTCCGGCTCCAAATGGAATCAATTGAAAGTCATGACCTCTGAAATCAATGCCAGAATTCAAGAATCTCAGGCCTAAACTCATCTGGTTCTTCCCAGAATGAAGGGTGTCTTCCAATGGCAAAAGCATTGGTAATGATCACAGTTCCAGCTGAAATGTCAAAGTCCATTACTTTAGCGTCGTCGATTGCCTGGCGCGGGACCAGTAAGGGTATCGGCAGATATAAACGCAGTGTTTCTTTAAGCACTGATTTCAAATACTTCATCTTTTCCAAATCCTCATCAGTGATCTCTGGTCTGCCACCAGCAATTCCTCTCACCTCCGTTTGTAGATCCTTCATCGCTTTTGGGTGCCTTAAAAGCTCTGTCATTGCCCATTCTAGCACGGTATAGGTAGTTTCCGTTCCACCAGCGACAATGTCCTAAAGCGAGAAGTAAAATAATAAACTTATAATTATCTTGTCTTTCAATTTTGGAAATGAGATGCACATTTCACCAAGCAAAGATTAAAGGATTGAAGATAGAAAATAGGAAATTTTATCTTAGACTATGCTCATCATAACACCAGTATATGGAAGTCATAAATTGGTCCCCCTGCGTATTTTTAAAAATCCCTCAAAGTCCTTCTTTTTTAAAAAAAATAAATAAATCCCTCACAAGCCATGTAAATTTTTTGTTCTACATAACCCAATGGAAAAAAAAAATTACTATTAGAAGTTTTATGCACTAATGAGTCTAAATGTATATCAGAAATGTGCAAAATTTAAAAATCAAAATCATTTATTTGAGTGTGTCTTCATCTAAAACCATTAGTCAATGTAACAAAGTTTAATCCTTATATTATATGGTGCTATAAGAGTCTGAAGAAGTACTGTAGTTAAGTGAACATTGAAAGGAATATTCATGTATGTGCAGATTTCATAGACTAGCCCTGGCTATTACAGTACACTACTTGTGGAGAACCAGAAACTTGGTGCTATTTCAGAATGGTAGTTTATATCCGGTGGTTGCAGCATATCATTGACACTATTCGTCATATTGGAGCTTCACGGAGGGGTGTACCAAAAACGTACGAAAACTGGAAATTGATTGCTGAATGGAGAATTCCCCTCGAATTGCAGAAATTTTGGGAAAATATAGTAAATAGGGAGGGGGTAGAAAATCGAACAGATTATAAATCCCAACTTGTGAATAACTCTGATGAACACCCTCACTTGACTAAATTAGGAAAATAGGGACAAATTGAATGAACACCCTCACTTGACCGAATTAGAAAAATGGGGACAAATTAAATGATCCAAAAAATGCCGAAATATAACCACTTCAAGGATGAAAAAGGGCCAGAAATCATCCCTGCAAGGAGACAATTAGAACGGTGGTTTTCTTTTATTTTTCTTTTGGACAAATTATACTTTACCCCCATGTGGTTTAGAGTTTTTGTACATAACTCCTCTATGGTTTCAAAAGCTATACATAACTCCCTCATAGTTTTGATTAAAGTGTCAAAGTGATAGAATTTGCAATCCATAACGAAGTCATCTAAAATGTCAAAAATACCCCTATGTAAAGTTGAAAATTATTTGTTAAAAATAGGGGAGTTATGTGTATATTTTGAAAACCATAAGGGGGTTATATGGTAAAATATAAAATCCTACGGGGTTAGTGTATTATGTATATTATGTTTATATATTTTGATCATTTCAACCATTTTAATTTTTAAACAAGACTAATTTCGACATTTTCAAAGATTCTATTACGAATGATCATTTTCATTACTTTGATACTTTAATCCAAATTATGAGGGAGTTACGCATAAGTTTTGAAACTATAGGGGGTTATGTATAAAAATACTAAACATAGAGGGGTAAAATGTAATTTGTCCTTTTGCCAAATTTAAAGTTGTGGTTAAGGTGAGGAATCGTTGGACGAACTTAAGAATGCAGGGAAACCGGCAGAGAATTTTAGAAATTCTGGATGGAGAAAACGATAGAGTCGTATGTTTAAGTTATGGAATTGCCGCGAAAGTCGCTCAAAATTACAGCAATCTCCACCATTGATGCTATGAAAATTGATAACTAATATTGCTCAAAATTATAGCAATTGCCATTGAAAAATTGGACCAATCAGTTGCCGGATAACATCCAATCAATTTTGTATAATTCAGCAATCCAATTCCACTCATTCACGTCTCGTCTTTATAGTAGTAAGGATATATATATATATGATTTTGGACTGATGTGAAAACACAGAAAATTTTTCAACTCTTGAATTCAGATTAACGTTTTGTGGTTGTAGTTCTATTTCTTTCTTGGATGAATATACTACTTGATTTTGCATTTTCTAAGAATTTTCAATGATCTAAAAACAAAACACCACATCATGATGTCTTGATAAACACGTATACAATAAGAACTTATCTTATTCTTAGCCCTGCTCTTAAATATTAACGACTCCGTATGCTCTAATTAAGCGAGGCAAAATATGCTTGATCATTTCTGTTTGAATTAGCTGTTTTTAGGGGTGTTTTTAAAAAATTTTACTATAACAGAGTTTTTAGAGTATATATTGGGATATTTTTAGAAAATATTTTAAAATATTTAAGAGTAGTAGAATTTTTAAAATATATTTTAAAATATTAAAAAAATTAAAATATTTTTGAGAGTACGTTTTAGAGTACTTTTTTAAAATTTTTATAATATTTGAAAAACAGGACAGCATGGAGTCTTTGATTCAAATGGATGATCATCAACACATTGCAGACATAGTCAAATCGATCATTTTCAGTCTTAACTTTTGCACATTGCAGACATAGTCAAAGGTAGATTAGGTACTCTGTGCTTTTGCACTTGAGTCAAAAGGGCTGGATGTTACATCATTTTGGAATTATTGAATTAGTTTATCAGTAGCATAAAGTGGTGATCCAGAATAATTAGTTGTTGATTCTTTTTAAGATTGAATATTACACAAATATATCTCAATAATTGCTTCACCTACTTCCAAAATATATACACAAAATATATGTAAGACATTTTTATTCTTTTTTTTTTGCTTTGCCTACTTCCCTCCAGCCCAGTGCAAAAAATTTACTAAATATCCGAATTCTTCACACCCATTTCTGATATGTTATCATGCTCATCTAGGTGTCCAGCCAAACTTGATGTGACTCAAATATACGTCGCTAACTTTTAAAATAAAAAACAGCCATATTTTTACAAAAGAAAATTGAAATTATTCAAATCGTGCCAAATTAGTTGCTTTGATTTCTTGTCAAGAGATGTAAAATAAGCTATCTTTAGATTTTGTTCCAAATGTCTAGCAGCCAAAAAGGATGCCACGAACAAAAAGCTTCAGCAATTATCGCAGAAAGCAGTCTTCAAACTTCAGCCGCCAAAATTAATGATAATGTTTTGCATAATAGAGTGCTGTCGTGGCATTATTTTCTTCAGCAATTATTTTCTGTACTGTAACGAGAGGAATTTTGCAAAGGCCATAAATACATGAAGTTACTTGTTTTTATTACAAGAAAGAAGCGGCCTGGGGAAAGTGCATGAAGAGTGAGAATCAAGGTTTCGGAACATCTGTAACCGCACTGTGCAATGGACGGTCTCAAATCTGGTCAGAGATTAGACCTTCTATTGCACAGTGCAATTGCAGCCCTTCTCAAGAATCAATCCAACATTTGTATCAAGACAAGAATACAGAATCTGCAGCATTCGGCCATGTGAAGAATTCAAGAAAGTGGAGATGGAATAACAAGAAGAGGAATTTTGCGACGAACTGCAACGTCAGGGCATTCTGTCATATCCAACTCTTTTCCCTGTGCACCATCAGGAAATTGCCAATCAAACTTGCTTACCAAATTTGCCAACACAAGTTCATTGCTGGCAACAGCAAAAGCGATTCCAGGACAACCCCTCCTACCAGCACCAAATGGGATTAACTGGAAATCATGCCCTTTGAAATCTATAGACGAATCCATAAATCTCTCTGGCATAAAGTTCACAGGTTCATCCCAATATGCAGGATCTCTACCTATTGCCCAAGCATTGGTGATCACCATTGTACCAGCTGCAATATCATATCCCATTATTTTGACATCTTCTCTTGCTTCTCTAGGAACCAGCAACGGAATTGGAGGATGTAAGCGAAGAGTTTCCTTGATCACTGCTTTCAAATAATGCATCTCGGCCAAGTCATCCTCGGATATCTGTTCTTTGCCACCAACAACCCCTCTTATTTCAGTTTGCAATTTCTTTAGGATAATGGGGTGTCTTAAGATCTCTGCCATTGCCCATTCTGCAACTGTAGCCGTGGTATCAGTCCCAGCAGAGAATACATCCTACAGTCAAAAAGATATACACTTAAAATCAATGATTTGTTGATTGTCCGTGAGAATGATCAGAGATGAAGCTTAATGATTTTATATTCAGAAAAAATGATTTTATAGAAGCTTAATGATTTTATACTCAGAAAATGAAGCTTAATGATTTTATATTCACTGCGCAGAGAAAATTGTGCTTACCAATATTATAGCTTTGACGCTGTCCCTGTCCATGGTTACACCTGTTGCGTTATCTTTATAGATTTTCAGCAAAATATCAAGAAAGTCTTCTCTGCTTTCACCATCAATCGTCTCACCACTTGACCCGCAGGAATATTTTTCCACTGCACCATCCAACCTTTCTTGGACCACGCCCTCCAAGAACTCATCTACTTCTCTAGCAACGCGATCCACTCTGGCATCGTAACCATTAACTCGATTAATCCAGCTGAGACAGGGCACAGATTTGACTAAAATTCCTCCGTTCAGTAACTCCAAGAATTCGCCCAACAGCAGCTTGAATTTCTTTCCAGTTTCCCCTCCACCGTATTTCCTCCCAAAAGCCGATCTGCATACAATATCATTAGTCAGCGAAACAAACATTTCGCTCAAATTCACAGGTGTCGAATCCAAAGAAGCGTCTTTAATCTTCTGCATCATAATCGACGTTTCCTCTTCCCTTATATTACGAAACGCCTGAACTTTTTTGTTGCTCAGGAGCTGAAGAACACAAATACTCTTTAACTGTCTCCAATACTCGCCATAGGGTGCTACCGATATATCCTTCATGTTATAGAGAAGTTTATTAGCTGTGCTCGAAAATGGCCTATAAGAGAAAATCAAATCGTGGGTTTTCATGATTAGGCTAGCTCCATCAGCTGATGAAACTACAACCGTTGGAACACTACCAAATTTGAGAAACATGATTGGACCATATTTTTGGGCTAAGGAGTGGAGAGGATAGTGAGGCAGTGAGCTTAGCTGATGAAGATTTCCAATAATCGGAAGTCCTGGTGGCGATGGTGGCTGATTCTTTCTCGAATTTGAAACTAATTTGAAGAGAAACCACAGTAAGATTAAAGGGAAAAGGGAAAAAAAGATTGGATGAAACATATATACATCAAACTTTAGCTCCGATACCAAGCCTGATGAGCTTGCCATTTGCTTTAATCTCCCCTGTATAAATGCTCAGGCTACAAGACTCTGATTTCAGACAAAAATTGGAAAACAAGTACGGACAAGCAAAACCATGCATGAGTCTCCTATTGGGGGCCATTCTGGCCAAATGGCCTGTGCTCAGAGGGTGCAAAGCTTGTTCTATTGGCCATGCATGACGACAGATATTATTCAGTTTATGCAAGGATGTGAGGTTTGTCAAAGGAACAAAAGTGAACATGTACCATATCCAGGACTGTTACAGCCTCTCTCTATACCAACTCAAGCTTGGTCTCACATCACCATGGATTTCATAGAGAAACTACCTTGTTCTAGGGGGTTTGATACAATTCTGGTGATCATAGACAGACTCACTAAATTTGGTCATTTTATGGCTCTCTCACACCCATTTTCAGCAACACAGGTAGCTCAGCTCTTCTTGGACCACATCTATAGGCTGCATGGTATGCCTGAATCTATCATAACAGACAGAGACAGAATTTTTTACTAGCAAGTTTTGGCAAGAATTGTTCAGGTTGACTGGAACTGAGCTGCATTATAGTTCTTCCTACCACCCTGAAACTGATGGCCAGAGTGAGAGGCTTAACCAATGCTTAGAGACTTATCTGTGATGCATGACGTGCGAGCTCCAACTCAGTGGAGTCAGTGGTTAAGCTTAGCAGAACTATGGCACAACACCTCTTATCACACTAGCCTAGGAGCTACACCCTTCGAGACTCTCTATGGCTATAAACCACTGTCCTTACCTATAGGACTTTACCAGGACACTGTGGCACCAGCAGCCAGCACTATGCTACAAACCAGAGGTCAAATGCTGCAAAGAATCAAGGAGCATCTGTACCAAGCACAGAATAGGATGAAGGTGTTTGCTGATAAACACAGGACAGAGAGACAATTTGAAGTGGGGGATTGGGTCTTCCTTAAGTTGCAGCCATACCGTCAACAATCTATAGCAATCAGAAAGTGTTTGAAATTGGCTGCCAAATTTTATGGGCCTTTTCAGATCATAGAGAAGGTTGGTGCTGTGGCTTACAAACTCCAGCTGCCTGCAGGAGCCAAGATTCACCCAGTATTCCATGTTTCACTCCTTAAACCAAAACTGGGGCCACATCAACCTACTAATCCTACGCTTCCAGAGCTTGACCACCAAGATCAGTGCCTTTTGCAACCTGCTGCCATTTTACAAAGAAGGGTCATCCTACGCAATACTGCTCCTGTCATACAATACCTTATCAAGTGGCATCAATTGGGTGAAGAGGAGGCATCGTGGGAGGATCAATCATTTTTTAATAGCCAATTTCGAACTTCCAGCCTTGAGGACAAGGCTGCTTTCAGAGAGGAAGTATTGTCAGGCATAGGGACTTAATTGCAATTGGATCGAAAGTTTGGAGGGCATTAGTGTAATTTCTCATATGGAGCCAAATTTGTTAAAAGTTAGTTATAACTGATTTTGCTGAAAGAATAGTTAGCTGCACGGAAATTCTTGCCAATAAGATTCTGTCTGATCATTGAAGGTGTATAAATCCAGGCAATATAATAGATTTGGGGACAAGAAGATTAATCACATTTATTTCCCCCAAATTCTCTGTCTCTCTCTTCCTTCTCCCTCTCTTTCCCTCCCATTTCTCTTCTTCTACATTCAAACCTTTCCACGCCTGCTGGTCTCAATCCTTCTACTATCACATTGCCAAGGGCCTGACACAGTAGCCTTTTAGAAAGGTTTCTAACTTACATGACATGCCATAGCCCAACAATTAAAAAAAAAAATCCAAGCACGTTGTTGGGCTTACAATCCGACAGCTTTTCAGGAAAATTCCCAATTGGCTACTGGACTAGTCAACCCGGCAATCCAATAGTTGAAACAAAAAAAAAAGCCTTGCTTGTGCCGAGCTTAATTAGCGTGACAGGCATAGTTCTATACCATTTTCCTGTCAGATCAACATTCCTGCATTTTTTTTTCAGCAATAAATAAAGGAATTAGCCCTCAAAAAGTGACTACACTTCTATGCCTTCAGACCCAGAATATTTTCTGCTCTGGAATAGCCCGCATGTTTTCTGAGTTTCCTTGACGTTGATCTCATATCCTATTCTACATTTCTGAAGTCTAAGCACATCATCCCTGTTCTGTTTGATAATGCCTCCATGGGTCCAAGAATATAAAGACCATTTGCATGATTTTAAGAGAAAAATGCAGTTTTGGTACCTATACTTTGATGCACAAGCGATTTTAGTCCCTAAATTTTGGACGAAAATAAATTTAGTACCCGAACTTTCAAATTTTGAGCACATTAAGTACCCTTGACGATTTTTTCCCAAATTGTTACCGGAAAAAGCCATGTGACCGTCACGTGTTCGGCCACAATTGTATAAAAAAAATAGAAAAATGCAATTTTGGTACTCAAACTTTGACGCACGAGCGGTTTTAGTCCCTAAATTTTGGACAAAAACAAATTTGGTACCTGAATTTTCAAATTTTGAGCACATTAAGTACCCTTGACAATTTTTTCCCAAATTGTTACCGAAAAAAGCCATGTGACAGTCACGTGTCCAGCCATAATTGTATTAAAAAAAAGGCCAAAAAAAGGTCAAATGCCATTCTAATACTAAGTATTAAATTTAAGGACTAATAGCGTAATAAAGAAAAAATTCAAGGACTAAATAACATCACATGAGTCAATTAAAAAAAAAGAAGAAGAAAACGATGTAAAATTCTACCAAACTTATTTCTATCTTTGTTCCATCTCTCTCTCTCTCTCTCCCCAAAGAAAACCTAAGAACCGAACTTCAACAAAAATTCAAGTTGAGCATGACGTGATCCAGCATATGTCAAAGACAACATGAAGACTGATCTTGATAATTGTGTTCTTATAGTTGCTCTTGTTCACCTCATTTTCATCTCCAATCTTGATACTGAGGTACACTTAAAATTGCTTCCAGCTCTTTCCCAACTGTTTTTCCATTGTGTCAGTATCCCCTTCTTGTTAAAATTGCTTCCAACTGCTTTGTCCAAGGACTAGTTCAAGTTTCTTGTATCAAGTTAGGTAGCAGAATACATGACCTTTGTGAAATACAGGATTACACATCATTATTTACACCTTTGTGGCTTGATTCTTAGATTAATGTACTGGAATTGGAGCTCATTTGTATCGGTTCTTGGGTTTTGTTGACTCATGTGATGTTATTTAGTCCTTGGATTTTATTTATTATGCTATTAGTCCTTAAATTTAATACTTAGTATTAGAATGACATTTGACATTTTTTTGGCCTTTTTTTATACAATTGTGGCTGGACATGTAACTGTCACATGGCTTTTTCCGGTAACAATTTAGGAAAAAATCGTCAAGGGTATTTAATGTGTTCAAAATTTGAAAGTTCGGGTACCAAATTTGTTTTCGTCCAAAATTTGAGGACTAAAACCGCTCGTGCGTCAAAGTTTGGGCACAAAAACTGCATTTTCTCTGATTTTAATTCCACGTGAACAGTTTCGGATGTCAATTTTTTATTGAATTAGATGAAATATCAATCAAACAGGTGATTCCAACTTGCCTCTGACAAAGATCATTGAGACACTAAGCTCCTGAGTCAAGGACAATAAAATCGTTTCAACCAGTCGCTGAAGTAACTCTCGATAATTTTGGATATTGACATTACGATAAAAAAAAATGAAAGTCCAATCAAATTATACTTACTGATTAATGTCCACTAACATTAGTTTCTGTTGGCCTGATAAGTATACGAGAGAATGGATGTTGACCTCGTACCCTTGTCATCGATTTGGCCAATCAAATCAATGTACCTTTCATTTTCGTAGCCTTAATTTTTCTTTTTAGAAAACTCAGAATTGCAGTGTGCTCTACTTGAAAGTGCAGGAGCAAAGTGCATTTCCATCCCACCATTTCTTACTTGAAACATCAGGTTTTGTACTCATTTTCCTCTTTAGTAACTCTTTAAATTTCTGGGCTTCCCTGTTCTAGTCTTGTTTTATTGTCATTGATCATATTTGGCCATTAAAATTTATGGGATTGTCTCTTCTTTTCCCCCCTTCTGATGGTATATTTTGTCACTGACCACATTTCATGTGATTTTTGTGTAGTTTCGTGAAAAAAGATTTAGGATTCTTCATTATATCATGAAATAAGGGAATGAAAGTAATCTAAGAAGTGAAGAAAGGCTTACCTTTTTTCTCAAACGTTTTTACAACACCACTTTGCATAAATTAGAAGTTACAGAAAAAGTATTTGATAGAGATAATAAAACAAAAGAATAAGAAATTTATACAAATGTATCCTTTGGATGGTGAATAAAACCGAAGACAAAAGTTTTTTGCTGTATCAATTAGAAAAATTTGTTAAGTGTCACAAAATATGACAAACTCTTACTGATGTTATGGTGCAGAGAATACCTTTTGAGAGACATACTAAAGCACACCATCATAGCTGTATTCCAAATGAATACTGATCTCCTCTCCATTCCAGGAAATTGCAAGGAAAAACTTCAATGGATCTCCTTGAATGGCAGAGGGAAAGCTTTCTATGCATCATATTTGCAACAATATCAATGGTTCTGGTGCTAAAGTTGCTGTTGAAGAAGAAGGAAAGCAGAAATGGCAAACTCCCACCATGTCCCCAAAACTTCCCATCATTGGTAACCTGCATCTGCTTGGTAATATGCCTCATGAATCTCTTCACATCCTTGCCAAGAAGTATGGTCCTATCATGTTCTTGCAGCTTGGGCAGGTGCCAACAATAGTGATTTCATCAGCTATATTAGCGAAGGAAGCACTGACAACCTTTGATCTAGCCCTGTCAAATAGGCCTCGAATATTTTCAGCCAAACACCTTTTCTACAACTGCACTGATATGGCTTTCTCTCCATACGGTGCCTACTGGCGAAATATACGCAAAATATGTATCCTTGAGGTACTAAGTGCAAAAAGAGTTCAGTCATTTGGCTTCGCAAGGCAAGAAGAAGTTGCTAATCTAGTTCATCGTGTAGCAGAATCGTACCCCAGTCCCACCAATTTAAGCCATATGCTTGGATTATATGCAAATAATCTCCTCTGTCGCATTGCATTTGGTAAAGATTTCTCACACGGAGGAGACCATGTTCGGCATAATTTTCAAAAGCTGCTTGAAGAGTATCAAATGTTGCTGGGAGGATTCAGCATTGGAGACTTCTTCCCATCCATGGAATTTCTACACAAATTTACCGGGATGGAATCAAGACTAAAAGACACTTTCAGACGCTTTGACCAGTTTTTTGATGAGATTTTGGAGGAACATCGAAATCCGGAGAACAGGAAAGACCACAAGGACCTGGTGGATGTGTTACTTGAAATACAAAAACATGGGGATCCTGAAACTCCTCTCACCACTGACAATATCAAAGCAATAATTTTGGTTAGTTAGAGCAAAGTTCTTGTTTCATTCTTGACTCCAGCTTAATCCTACTAGAAGAATCAAATGCTCTGCTCAAAACTATTATTTTCTAATGCTGTCTTACTTAGCTCCAGTTTCTAATTGCTTCGATATTGTTGATGCAGGACATGTTTGCAGCAGGTACAGATACAAACTTCATCACCTTGGATTGGACAATGACAGAGCTCATAATGAACCCCCAGGTGCTACGAAAAGCACAGGCCGAGGTCAGAAGTATTGTTGGAGAAAGAAGATCAGTTTCAGAGACTGACCTGTCTCACTTGCACTACATGAGAGCTGTTGTGAAGGAAACTTTTAGGCTACATCCCCAGCTCCAGTATTACTCCCTAGAGAATCCATGGAGGAAGTGACAATTGATGGCTATCCCATTCCTTCCAAAACAAGGTTCTTCATCAATGCTTGGGCAATGGGAAGAGACCCTGAAACATGGGAAAATCCAGACATATTTGAACCAGAGAGGTTCATGAATAGTCCTATTGATTTCAAGGGCCAAGATTTTGAGCTCATACCATTTGGTGCCGGTAGACGAATGTGTCCTGCTGTTACATTTAGTACAGCAACATTTGAGCTTGCTTTAGCTCAACTTCTGCATAGCTTTGATTGGGAGCTTCCTCCAGGAGTTAAAGCAAAAGATTTGGACCTGACTGAAGCTTTTGGCATCACCATGCACAAAATATCTCCTCTCATGGTGCTTGCAAAACCAAACTTTTCTGAAGGTCTCAATGGAAAATAGAGACCAATCTGAGAGGTGTGATTCCATGAAATCGCTTCTAAGGAAAAATGCTATGTCCCTGAACAACTGGTATTTCTTTCGGTCAAATTATATAGTCTTAAGTACCTTGAATAACCGAAGGCGGGGCATATTCACAGTTATGTCCAGTCTTTGTACCTGTTACAGGAATCAATGTGCAATAGTACTAACTCTGTGTATTCAGATTTTGTAATTAATGCACCAACGACAAGCACCAGAATGAAAGCTTAATTGTGTCAGCTCCAAGTCCCCGATAGGTAAAGATAGAATGACCAAAAACTAAAGCAAGTTAAACTAAATTGTGCTTCAATTAAAGATTGCTTCAGAGCCGTCTGAAAATTGATATGGTAGCAGCAATATATATTCACGAAATACATCTGCCTGTTCTGTGAAAATTCACAACTAGCAAACTTCTCAAGTATAAACTGGCCAACTTCTCACAGGTCCAGGCGGTTCTCGCAGCAAGAATTCACCGAGACAACATTATTCCGCAAACACCTACATTTCTTTGAATACATCCCACTAATTGTTTGGATCTTGAAATTAAATGTAGAAGAAAATTGGAAGTCTTTGATGATCTCGCAGGCTTTTTTTTTTTTTAATTAACCTCACAGAAAGGACAGTAACATGGGCTTTATATTCAACTGTAATTTTCCTCCTCTGGCTTCCTCAGGGAGGCATTTTCTTTGATATCATATTGTTTGAAGGTCAAAAAAGTGGGGGAGTTAGTCAAGCATAGAACTTGAATCAAGACAAATTGAATATCCATCGTCAATTGTATCATCATAATATTTTTAGGTTCACCGGTAGTGTAGAATCAGGACAAAATGATAAAATCAGAATTCAGTATCTTCTTTATTGGATCCTAACGAGTGTCATACATTAGCGTGACGCGGAGTTTAATCGATCTACTCTCCTTGTAATGTTCGAAACTCTAGTATTTGGTTGGTGCAACTTGCAAGACTATGCCGTCGGTAGAAACTAGAAAGTTGGATCATCCAATTGAGCTACCAATTTTCTAATTAATGGTCTCTCAATAAATTAAGCTATAGTACAGTAAAAACCGTGTTTCTATTTTTTTTTTTTGATAAAAATCAAATTTCATTAACAAATTACAAGAACCGTGTTTGTACATCGCTGCTTTAATAGCCTGTTAAACATGCACTAGAAATTACAGATTTGTAATTTAATCAATATAATAGATTTGAAAAATTATGAACAACTCTGAAAAATACAAGAAATTTTAAAGTTGTCTTCTAATAGATAAATCACTGCAATCCTCTCCTATACATGATGCAATCTATTAATCAACGGTTTTAAACTCCAATGATGATGATGACATCTATCAAAATAGATCAAAGATCCAAAAAAATTTTAGATCTAACAACCAAATCTGAAATAAATTTAGATCTAATCAACAAAAAAAAGAAAAAAAAAACAAAAATCTCCACAAGAATCTCTGGGGAAATAGAAAATTCTGTTAATAGAAAATGAAAACTCTTACTAAGAAAACTTAGGAGAGACTTTATTAAAAAATTAAATAAAACAAACTGAAATTCATGGGACGTGGTCTCCCTCCTTAAGGGGAAGGCCTTTGAAAAGGGAAGAAGAAGAGAGAAGAGAGAAGTTGAAAACCATGTTTCTATTTGTTGTTGGTTTTATATCCAAATCCTATGTTTTGTCATTGCACTACACTTGACAATAAAAACAACTCCCAAATTGGACTCAGCAAAACCTGGTTCTGCATAAATTCAATGGTTAACTAAGCGTGTTTGCTGAAATGGTATGCTGAAATGGTATCCTTTCTTCTTCCTTTTCTTTCTACATTCAACTCCCTACCCTCTGCAGCATCAGACCTGATCTATGGCAATTTTGCTAATTGCCTAATAAAGATAGGGATCCCCAATGACCAAATATCAAGAATTCTTTACAGCCCCATGAATGTTTCCTATAATTCAGATCTACAAGCCCATACAAGAAATGGCCTTACACAAGGGCGACATGTACCCCAAAACCACTTCTAGCCCCCTATAAGGGCTACAAGCCCATGTTTTTTATCATTACGGTGAAAGAATGAGTGAAATTCCAGAAAGTGAAGCGCCTTTCCCTCATCGATCTGGGATCCTGTTCATGATTGAATATTCAGTGAACTGGCATGAAGAAGATCCTGCATTTGCCAAGAAGTACATAGAGCAGACAAGGGAACTACACAGTTTATTGACACCTTTTGTTCCAAAAAGTCCTAGGCAGGCTTTTCTGAATTATAGGTACCTTGATATTGATACTACAGGACAGACAATGAGTTACAATGAAGGAAGAGTTTATGGGATCAAATATTTCAAGGATAACTTTTACAGATTGGTGAAAGTCAAGTCCATGGTAGATCCTGAAAATTTCTTCAGGAATGAGCTGAGTATCGGACTCTGCCTCTCAGGCCACTCTAATGGGGGTACAATAATGCTACTATTATTGAAAATTTCCAAAGATAGTATAGATTTTGATTTTCCAAAAGGATTTCATTGTGTTTCCACACAACAATCTAACAACAGGAAAAACACAAAACATGATAATTAAAGTCTCTAGAATTGAAGTTGATTGTAATTAGTGTTGGGCTGGCCCAAACAATTCTATGTATAAATCCTTATACTATATAAGAATGAGTTTAAAACTTTAATTTCAACAGCAAGAGTGGCCTTTTTTTTGGAAATGTGAGAGTGTTTGGAGTGCAATTAGAGTATTGAATATGAGTCATTATAACTAATTTAGTTTTGTTGTAATTACTTGGATGACCTTTTAAACATTTAAAGCTAGGGATAAGTTTGATATGTGACAGTGTTTGATATCCGATTAAACATCGGGTACAACTGAATTCAGCTTGTGTTTTAGTGAAATTACATAAATGCCCTTCTAATCATTTAATTGTATTAACATCTAAGTCTTTTAATTTCTTAAAGCCTTTCTCATCAGTTATTTGCAAAGTTATGATATATAGATGTTAAAACACAATTAATGTCAATTAGTAGAGAAGTCTGGTTTCTCGACCGTTACCCCCATCTATTCAAATTCATTTCATTTACTTATAGGTTTTGTTCCAGCACAATCATACAGTATATTGAATTCGGATATTTCTACATTAGCTACTCCTCTTCTCCATTTTGCAACACCTTTTTCAATAGGTATGTTTTTTTTTTAACCAATCTACTTTTTGGTTGTAAAAAATCTGTAATATTGCAAGTTGTATGTGCAATAACTTTTTAGTGTTTTAATTCAATTGTCCATGTTAGACAAGCTTGATACGTAAGAGACCACATTTGTTAATTGTTATTTATGGTTTAAAATAAGTTTATCATCATAAATTTTCCCATTTATAGATTGCATCTACTTCTTTTGTTGTTTTAACTATTAGTTAGGGTAATTTCAAATCGTTTGCTACTTTATTGACTATTCCATTTAGACAATTTTTCACTTCATCTGATTTGCCAATATGTTTAACTATCTACTTAAAACTATTTGGCTAATAATCTAAAGTATGTACCTCATTACTTTTAATTGTTTTTCTTGAATTGAGTGGATTAGGATGCTTTAGTACTTTTTTGAGGTAATTATTCCTCTAAATTAGCATGTTAGTTGTTGTATATCTTTGCAACTAATACAAAACTGATATTTCATGATTGTAACCCCTATCGAGAAGGAGATGCTTTGCTATATGTCCTAAATCATATAATAAATTATAATTAATTGCTTGCTCAATGTGAAGGCCTCGTGATGATATATGTCCTTGGAATCAATATAAATTCAAGAATTTGGCTTGCAAGAACCGAAATTCCACTAGCAATGATTTCCTCAAGTATGCTAATTGTTCAAATCTCACTTATATGACAAGATAATTTGGTGGATTGCCCTCATATCAAGATTAAATTCAAACTAAATAACAAATTTTAATATCCCTAAAATGCATGAGCAGATATAAATAGGTCTTTTATTATACTAGGTTAGATGCAAAGTAGTTGATCGTATCTTATAATTATGTTTTATTGCATATTATATTTTTTGACACAATATGTAACTTATGATTTTTTTAAATTTAATATCATATAATAAAATTTTCATACTTCAATTCTTATACTAGAAAATGCCAAATAATAATTATTAACCATCTTTAATTATAGGCACTAAACTCCCACGCGTTGCGTGGGCTTTTCCCCCTAGTATATATTATATAAAGATAAATAATATTTGCACTCTAATAAAATTCTCAAACACTCTAAACTTGTAATTTTTTTGTTAAAAATGATATAAAGATCCAAAACCTATATTCTCTAACAATGTGAATAAAAAAACTACCCCAAGGCATAGTAAATGATCGGTTTGCATTATTTTCATAGAGACCACTACAGTTTGGATTACAAAATCTCGGTTAAAGTTGTAAAAGTCCACTAAAGAATAATGAACGAGTCCAAAAATAATGCTCAACTCCAAATCAAAATGACTAGTACTTAAGAATTACCAAATAAGTTATACACATAAAGAATTTATAGAATAATAATTTTAAAAAAATTTCCTCCATTATTAATATTACAACAATTTAGGACTGATATAAGAATAGTGAAAATAAGACAAATTGAAAAGATGAAACAGGAAGAGTTACCGATAAATGCATAGATGGCCAATTCGTCTCTTAGAATATTTTATATGTTTTTGTATCATTTCATTAACCAAAAAAAAAAAAAAAAGAAGAGGATGGAGTACTTAGAGCATTTTTGGGATTGCCAATATCAGTTGTCTATATTAATAACACTCTATAGAGTTTATAAGTATACAATTATAATGTAAAAACCTAATATGTATAATTATATGAGAGTATATAGTTATTATTACATATTGTATATATTTACAGCATATTTTAATTATGAACTTGTGCTCAGCCCCAAGTATGCTCGGAATTCCATTATTTTTGTGAGTCGAGTATGATCTTCACAGTAAGAGGTCAAAGCTCAAAACCCAGAAATTCTATTACTTTTGTGATTCGAACCTCGAAATGCCAAAGCCTACCTTGAATAACTCGGTTGATAGCCCTGGGTCTTTCTTTAACATGAAACAGTGACTATGAAGTCACGTAGTTGATTACTCAAAATTCTCCGTCACTTTCATCCTTAACTTTTTAGTTGTTTTTTTTCCCCAAATTAACAGCATCATCTAACCATTCATACAACAAAAATTTATTCTCTCTTGTGATTCTCAACTAAATAGGGAAAACGAGGGAATCCATTAAATGAGGAGGCACTTGCAGTCAGATTAGCTCTCCTAATGGCCAAGGAAGCTGACTGCAGGAGAGTGGAAATACAATCTAACTGTAAAGCACTCATTCATAAGATCCATGCTCAGGAGACTCAGGTCAGTGAAACTGCAAAATTCGGATTCTTGAATTGAGAGAGCTGTTTGAACAATGTATATATCCAAAGGAAAGAAATGCTTGTAATCATAGGTAGCTCAATTTGCACTTTAGTTAGTTAATGATGTCAAATGGGATTCTAGTATTCCACTGTCACTTATTTATTTCTTTAATCAAGAGCATCGACCAATTGCTATTTCTTAATGTCCAAAGTGATAGAGAAAGATTTTTTACAACTATTGCCTCTCGGATCTTCTAGTGTCACTGCTCGGGCCATTGCCGGCCTGAGATGGCTTCTTCAAAGCATGCTTACATGGTGGCCTGAAGGCGACTTAAAGTCACTACAGGAGGAGAAGGCGACTTTAAAATAGTCATTTGAGATGGCGATTTTGATTTGTTTTTCTATTTTCTTTTTCTACTTTTTCACCCAAAGTGAGTCATCTAGCTAAAATAACAAAGCGAGTCACCTTTATAAATGGCGAAATCTCTACTGTTGGAAAACTTCAAAATTTACTATTATTTTCATAATTTAAAAAAAAGGATTATTTAGGTAATTCACTCCATCAATCCTATTCTTGTATTCGAATCATTCTACAACAATTCAATGAGGTAGCCCTCCTCAAGCTTGATTTTGCCATGCCTCCCTTGTTAGAAGCCACCGAGTTTATCAATCGTTTCTTCTCGTCCATATTTGCGGGATTCCTGTTGCTTAATCTTCGAAAATTTATCGTTTGGACAGTGAAAGATTTTGGCTGCTGGTGGAAGATAAACTAATCTCTGCTTGAGCTGGCAAATGCCAATTAAGATTGGTCTTTCAATAAATTAAGCCATATTTACGATATGTTTTTTGTTTTCTTGCTGGTTTGCGAGGAATCTTGGGTTTAGAAGGCCAGTGCACAAACAGATAAACATGTTTTTCCTTTCTTGTTGGTTTGTATATAAATTTATGAACTTTGTTGGAAACTAATATTTGTTCACGTGAAAGTGGACGGCTAAAATGCTAAATCTTTTGTGTACAATTGAAAAAATACATAGTTTTGGGTGTATAATTATCGTAAAAATTTAATTACTACCTCAAAGAAAAAAAAATACGTAGTTTTTGATGTATAGATATTGTCACCTTATAGTATATTTATGTATAAACTCTTTTTAAAAAAATTGGGATTGTAGTTCAATAGTTGGAATAAAATAATTTCTTGATATAGATATGTGAAAATGCTATTTATAATTCTTTATTTAAATTATTTATCTATTAATCAAGTTGAATAATATGCCAAATGTGGAACATGTCTACTGTTGGTTCTGAATTAATGAGCAATTCACTCATAGCCTAGGGGTGCATATTGCTAGTAACTTAAATTCACCAAGTATAAATTGGTATGGTACATGGAAATTGTGATCAACACCAAGTCCGCATCTTAGATTGCCTGCAATGTTACCCTCTCTTCTTCTTCTTCTTCTTCTTTTTCTTTCTGCATTCAATTCCCTAACATCTGCAGCCTCAGACCTCGTCTTTGACAACTTTGCCCATTGCCTTGCAGGAAAAGGGATCCCAGATGACCAAATCTCAAGCATTCTTTATAGCCCCATTAACGCTTCCTACACTTCAGTTTTACAAGCTTATATAAGAAACAGGAGATTCAACACTTCCACAACCCCAAAACCGCTTCTCATAGTCACAGCTTTAGAAGAATACCACGTCCAAGCAGCTGTTCTATGTACAAAAAGAACTGGGCTGGAACTGAAAATCAGAAGTGGCGGTCATGATTTTGAAGGAATCTCATACGTTTCCAGTGTTCCATTCGTCATTCTTGACATGTTCCACCTTAGTAGTATTCATGTTGATATTGAAAATGAAATTTCTTGGGTACAAGTTGGCGCGACACTTGGGGAACTCTACTACAGGATTTGGGAAAAGAGTAAAGCACATGCATTCCCTGCCGGTGTATGCCGATCAGTAGGCGTAGGCGGCCACATAAGTGGGGGAGGTTATGGCCCTATGCTACGCAAATACGGCCTAACTGTAGACAATGTTGTTGATGCACGAATCGTCGATGTTAAAGGCAGGATTTTGGATAGGGAAGCAATGGGGGAAGATCTTTTCTGGGCTATTAGGGGTGGTGGTGGTGCGAGTTTTTGCGTTGTTTTGGCGTACAAAATCAAGTTAGTCAGGGTACCAGAAATTGTAACATTTTTCAGGATTGTTAGGACCATGGAAGAAAATGTAACAGATCTTGTTTATAGCTGGCAACAGGTAGCCAACACGATTGACAATGATCTCTTCATCAGAGTTCTGGTCCAACCAGTTACTGAACAAATCAATGGGCAGAGTCAGACTACAATTGGAGCAACATTTATAGCATTATTCCTTGGAGATGCCGATGGACTCTTATCTGTTATGAATGGAAGGTTTTCTGAATTGGGATTGAAGAAACAGGACTGTTTGGAAATGAGTTGGGGTGAATCACTCCTCCGGTGGGAAGGTTACGCGAGTGGTACACCCATGGAAGCTATCCTTGACAAGACTTATGCCAACTTCGCGAAGAGGAAATCAGATTATGTGCAGAATCCAATTCCAAGGCATGGGCTGGCCTCCATATTCAAGAAAGTGATTGAGCTAAATAAAACAGTACTGGAATTCAATCCTTATGGCGGAAGAATGAGTGAAATTCCAGAAAGCCAAACGCCTTTCCCTCATCGTTCTGAGATCATTTTCAAGATCGAGTATTTAGTGATTTGGCAGGAAGAAGGTCCTAGATTTGCCAAGAAATACATAGAGCAGACACGGGTGCTATACAGTTTGATGACTCCTTTCGTTTCAAAAAATCCTAGGCAGGCTTTTCTGAATTACAGGGACCTTGATATTGGAACCACAGACAACGGGAAGAACAGTTACAACGAAGGAAGAGTTTATGGGCTCAAATATTTCAAAAATAATTTTTACAGATTGGTGAAAGTCAAGACCATGATAGATCCTGAAAATTTCTTCAGGAACGAGCAGAGTATACCAACTCGGCCCTCCGGCCATTTTAGTTGGGGTAAAACTTTCAAGCTTATTAACACTTTTACTCTTTTACGATCCAGAATTGGGTGCAAAAGTTATTATTTAAAGTTTTTGACTCGGCCTGGCTGCATTTTTAATTGAAGTACAGTTCTCAACATTCAGGCCCAGTATATTTCTGGTCAGGAATAGCCTGTGTTCTTTGTCTTTGCCTTGCCAGTTTCTTGCACTGATATCATATCCAGATCTACGTTCCTGATTGCTATTTGCAACATCTGTTCTACAAATAGCATTATTGTTTTGAATAGCTCGGGTCAAAATATATTTTGTGTTACAAATAGTATAGTTTCAAATGGCGTGTTCTAGTCATTATGTCTGTTATACAAGGTTAAATGTATAATAGTACTGAATTGTTTGTTGCACTCGAGTTTTGGTTGTTGTATAGACTTGTTTAAGGAGAACCAGGAGGAGAACACGCGCGATGCGCGGTGAAAATTTTCATGTTTGCCCAGTTATTCATGGTACATAATTAAATTTCAAGTTTGTCCAATTATTTAGGGTTTTCCAGTTATACAAAGTACATAATTGTTGCAAATTATATTAAGCTGAATCATAAATATTGTATTCATCCATTCAAAATTAGATAAAGCTGTATCGTATTTATCCATTCAAAAGTTTCTAAAACAATTAGCAAGAGTAATTTTTGATGATACTGTAACTGTGAAGTGCATCCATGTTAGCAAACTTAAGAAAATGGACTCTCATCTAGAAAGAAAATGAAAAGTATAATTGTAAGTTACAGACTTACTGGATTTCTTTCTCCACCAAATTTTACCATTAGAAAGCAGTATCAGTACAATATTCTTAATGTTCCAAAAGGTATAAATTATAAAAATACAAAAAGCCTATGAAATGCCCTTTTTCTCTCAACTACTAACACCCATGAAGACTTCTTTTTTTAATGTAAATAGTAAGAGATGCAAGACTCAAACACAATCTGGAGTGGAGAGCTGCATATGCTTCCAGTCTGTGATAAGATAAACAAGTCATTATCTCAAGTTTAGAAGCTTATTGATATAGCAAATGAGATACGATAAAGCAAATGAAATAGATATATAATGGAAATATTTTGGGTGCATGATAACAACAAAGAAAGGTATCAATACCTTTCAAAATGGCATTTGAGGCCAAAATATTCATCCACCGACCCAACAAATTTTATCACTTTAATCTTGTTTTCCTACAACAGTTGAAACTTATTCAAAACTGTTTTTGAATCTTGGAATTAAATCACCAAATTGCATTAGCTGTGACAGCTCCACCTCCCCCTAAGGCGAACCAAAGAGTTCGGCGGACCGCTTGCCCAACTCTCGCCAGGACTACGGAGTCGAAACTCACAAATCCTATAGTACGCGCGATGGGACCCAAAGAAAAATGAACAATCGGAGACAACTAAGGTGAGAACATGCTTACCAAACCATAAGATCTTAATATCTCAAATGAATACACTTAATAGACAAGATTAAACACTTATACATATATTTACATCGGAGTCTTTAACAAATTAACTAAACTACGATACAAACCAAAGTATTCATACAATTAAAAATATAATTCGGGTTTCGGTTATAAAAGAGCTTAACAAAATAATATTTACACTAGCTCGACCCTTTCTTCCAAAATCAAGGATTCAAAGTTTGCCCCCTGAAAGGAAAACAAAGTTAACGGAAAGGGGGTGAGTTTACGCTCAATGAGGTACCAAAATAATAGCAGTCAAGAATCATGGAGTTTCATGTTCACTTAGTCACATATGCATATCACATAGAGAAATGAACAAACACCTTAGATAGGAATGATACAGGTAGCTCTCAGGAGCCAAAATTCCCATTGCCATACTTGAACCAAATTCGTTGACTCTCCGTCAACGTATAAAGAACAACCATGTCCGTAGACCCCACTTTACACCAAATTCCGTCTACCGAACATACCCTTACCGGACCCGAACACCACATACAGAACAGAGATGGTAATACTCGAGTATACCGGAATCAAGAGTCTCAATACTCAAAGATTCCCAGAAACAGACTACCGTGGCTCGTTATCTAATCAATCAGGCCCTTGCCGGCTCGACTCGAGAGACTAACCACAGGTTTTGAGCTCAGAAATCACTGAAGGGTCGTTGGATACAAGCCTCCAAACAATGTCAGAATAGACTTAGATACAGATAACAGAGTCAAGTATACACAGTAAATAGGCATACAGATAACCAAGAGAACGAGTGTGATAAAGTACACTCTCGTCTCAAACAGAATAAACAGATAGTACAGTCATTCAAATTACAGATTTCATGTACAGAAACCAAGTTAAACAACAAATGAGGGGAGTGTTACACTCACCAGTTCCAGTACAGATACTTCAAAAGTTTTTACCCAAAGTGGCTTTAATCGCCAAGAAACCCTAAAATAATCAAGATAAAACAATTATAGTTCGCACATCTACAAACCCAGTAAATGGAATGCATAAATGAGACTCGACTACATGTCGTACGCCTTTCCAGGTTAAGTACTAGTACAAAAGAATAAAATATGACTTTTGAGCAAAAAGATAACAATTGGTCTTAGAGTTACAAATAACTCCCAAAATCCCTTCATTTTTACCAAGATCAATTCAACTTGAAGGAATCGCGTAGCCCTAAAATTTTGGGCAGCATGCCCTCTGTATTTACCTATTTTCCAATCATTTATGGCTTCATTATTTTCCTTAACTCAGTCCAATTCAACACATAAGAAATCTCAATACAATAGCCCTTCAACTAGGATCAAGTTCATCCAAATACAAAGCATAGTCTAGGAATGCAATTGGAAATCAAATTTTAAGGACAAAAGCTAAATAGCAGGTTTGACGTCTCTTAGCGTATCGGTCACAACCGAAGCTACACTTATCGGATTGGGGTGTAATTTATACCGTTTCGAAGCTAAGATAAAGGCCTACAACTTTGATGAAGACCACTTAGTCCAGTTAGTAGTGTATCTAGGTCAAATTTTCAAATTACAGAACCAGCATCTCACAATCAGACTAGTTAACCGTACTATGATTAAATGACAATAACTCAGGCTACCGAAGTCCGATTGAGGTGTATCTTATGGAGTTTCGAAGCCAAGATATATACCTACATTTCTTATGAAGGCCTCAAAAGTTAAATCATGCATTTTCAGAGTCAAAATTGAAATCTCCACGAAGACAGAAAACTATCCGCGAAACAGGGGTTATGGGCAGTCAAGGGTATTTCAGTCATTTCACATGATACAGTGCTCCGATTGAGCTGAAATTTTACAAACAGTTATAAAACATTATTTCCTACAACTTTTATGTTTTGTGCTAAGCCTAATTCGTTCTCTAACATGGTCAAACAGAACCGGGTAGAACAGGGTAAATTGGAAACTTTAAAACTGAAATTTATGCACTCTAGTTGAAACTTTTTGAAGGCAAGCAAAACTAGCATTTTCAAGCTCAAAATTACTCATGACAACTACCAAATCATGGCTAAACATCAATCATCATATGAGGACAGAAAATTTACTATAAAAACTGAAATTCACCATGCCCCTACTTCAAACCATAAACTTGTCCATAAAGCTACATATTTAACCTTTCCAATACACTAATTAACAATTATTACAAACAAAGAGGGATTTTGCAAGCAAAGTATCTTGGATCCTCAAGAAAGATGGTGGTTTAGAGATCTTCTTCCCAAATTAGCTCCACAAACACCTTGAAAACTACCTTAACTAGTACTTTTATGGAGTAGTTTGCGATTTAATCAGTTGGAACTCAAGATTTGGACAAGAAATTGAAGTGGAAGATGAAGAACTCTCTTGGTTTCTCTCTCACTAATTTCAGCCAAAGGAGACAAGAAAATGAATGAATTTTGGTCAAAAATCTGATTTAGTAAAGTTACTAACCTTGGTCAAAAGTCCAACTTCTAATAGCATAGTGACACTTGGCTCCTTTTTAGGGTTTTAATCTTATCCTTTTGTCTACCAATGGTGATTTATCTAGCTAACCTCTAATTGTCTCCTAGCACCTTGTACAGTAATATTCCGTTATACAAAACTTTAATTAATCAGCAAAAATTTATCGCACTTAACGCACTAACGGGCTCCACATCCATAATACGCTTTAAACTGAATATGAACTAATTTAAACTAGGAAAATGATTTAAAAACTCTACTCACTAATAAAATGTCTGGAAAAATCAATATAATAAGGTATAATGAAGAAAATGCATACGAGAAAATAAAATAAAATAATATAAAAAATAAGGAAAATTTACGGGTCCTCACACCAGTTGGTTGGGACTCATGATTTTTCAGCAATAATTCATTATTTTGTTCAGTCAAGAGAAGACATGCGATAAATTCAGAATATTTTTTAAATCTCTTCTCTCAATATTGCTACTGCAAGAGCATATTAGAGACATGAAAAGTAGAAAATGTCTTCCCTAACATATCTTCATCAGTGACTTTTTCGTCACATAATGATAATTGAGAAGTAATTCTGAACATGACTGAATTATATTCATTGACAGATTTAAAATCTTGCAACCGTAAGTGAAGCCAATCATATCTGGCTTTTGGGAACGACCAACTTCAGGTGGTCGAATCTTTCTTTCAAATCTTGCTAAAGGACAAGAGGATCTTTGACAGTAAGATACTCTATTTTTAATCCTTTATCTAAATGATGACGAACGAAAATCATAACTTTGGCACGGTTTTGGTTTGAGAATTCATTTTTTTCAACAATAGTATTACCAAAACCCATTGCCTCAAGATGAATTTCAACATCCAATACCCATGATAAATAATTTTTTCCAGAAATGTCAAGAGGTGCGAACTCTTGTTTTGTAAGATTAGTCATAAGAAATTAAAATAAGTTTTTGACTTAGAAATTTACCTCGGAAGTCATCTTTGGCTGTCATATTTTCTTTTTCAACACATTGGTACCTTGCTTTCTCAGGAAAGTGGTAATTAAGCTTCTAACAAGTTGAGATCATTCTGTGACAGAAACTCTTGTGCAGTTTCTTTTAAAATTAGCAAATCTGATGAATGGTGGCTCATTAGTAAAAAATATTTCTTAGGACAGAC